TTGTTGGTACTATTTTGATACAAACGCTTATGTTTGTAAGTAATATGTCATCCACGTATAGAAATCCATTGAGCATAAAGCGTCCTCTCGGAACGAACGGCGGAAACTTGCTTTGATCGAGGTTGACGTCTCGCAGGTAGTAAGTGCCCTTAAATTATAATTATTTAGTACAGTGAAACGAGAACAATACGCTAACTAATCTACGAATCTGAGCTGAAAATAAGCCACCAAAGATATCGCCTTGGACTGATGGTATCGTCGCGCACTTTTTCTGCAGGAGGATTCAAGTTTCATAATAGTATATTAAGAGACAAGTGTATAATCATCTCTTTAAAGCACGCGCAAAAAGTTTAAGGGCACGACGCGAAGCGTCAGGATCGGAATTACTACTTTTTTAGTAGGTAACTCTTCTGGTTGGGAACTGCCCTATATTACTACTGTAGCCGTTCCCGTAGAGACATTTAAATTATTTTTGTAGCATCCGAAATCTCTCTTCGATTCGAAGGGAAAATTAGTATTGTACGATTTCAGCTTCATTAATTAATTATTGACCGACTCCAATTTAAAACTAGGATAGACGCGGACAGAAGGGTTATGTCTCTATGCTTAAGGAATTTTGCATTCTGTTTTGATTAAGATAGTGAATATTAAACGCTGAGTCTGGAATCGTGACGTTTGTGGTCTAACCTGTGAATATAGTGGCTTTTACATGTTATAGTCTTCAAATTTATGGTTAAATATGTTTAAATAAATGTCATTCAGTCTTAAGCTACAATCTTTACTGAAAGCGGCATGCTTACTTTTTTGGTGGGACAAGTAGTCAAATTGGTGTCCGAATTTTTATAGCTAAAACCAAACGGACTATTAAATGTGAAGCTGCATGGGTGCTCTTCGCGCCGTACTCCAAACCTACGGTACTCGTTGTTTGTAAATTTCAGCGCTTCTAGGACAAACTGCAATTGAAGTGTAATGTGACCGTTGAGGTACCTACTGATTCTTCTCACCTTGACGTTTGTGCCAATTTCTTGAAGTACATCAACAGTAAACAGGAGTCTTCTACTTGTTTTGCTCACTTTGCTGTAAGTCAGATTGTATCTTATATACTTTTCATTGTAGTAGTTAATTAAGTGCCTTTCGTACTTCGCGACATAATCATTTTGGAAATATTCCTTAAAATCCTAAAATGGTACCACAGTATCTTTTCAATAAGCTTCGATTTCAGCATAACATACGTGATTTTTTCTTGAGACATAAAAATTTAGTTATAACACCGCTTCATAAAACCTCCTTGTATGAAAGATCATTTAGTTATAACGCGTCTAAAGTTTATAATTCAATACCTCCTGAAATTAAAGAACTTCCTATACAACATTTCAAAATTCAACTACATAAACTATATCTACTTAATCAATACACCTCTTAAATAAAAATTAATCTTGATAAGCTTCTGTTTTTATTATAATTTATTTGTCCCGTTAAAAATATTATTTTTCACTCGTAATGCCATAATTAATGTTATTTAGTAATCAAACTGGGTTGAGTGGAAGACCAAGCTGCTACTTAGTAGTTGCTTGAACTCACTCCATTTGGGAACAACAAGTGAGGCAGTTCTTAAGTACTCTGTTCTCTTCGAACATCATGTATGATTTTATTTTTCTTTATTTTTATCTTGAACATTATATTAAGTTGTTTTCAATAAATGCATTATTATGGTCGGTGTTTCTTGTGAGAACTCAGGTCTAGCCTGGTTAACTAATCGCACGGATTAAAATCAAGTAACGATTAGTGTCTGTGTCTGTGTCTGGTGAAGTTATGTAGGGTCCTTAATAAAAAAAAAAAAAAAAAAAATCACACACGTACATTGGACATCTAGGGATAGTATGTAATTCGTACTTACCAACATACCTATTGATGGGCACAATAGCCAACGCTATCAGGAAAGAGGAAAACAAAACAAAACAAAAAAATCATTATAATAATTCCTGTAATTTTATTAAATGGAGTTTATTGTGTAAGTGTTTCTTTGGCTTTGCGTTTGGGTTGAATACGAGTGGGTTGTGATAACGTGGTGTGTTTCTGTGAAGAAGGAGTTTTGTGTTTTTTAATTGTATTTATGGTGTTTCTTTGTTCCTGAGGTCGTATTTGTGAGGTTGCTTGGGTTTTTGGTGGAGATATTGCAGTATTTTGTGAGCCTGTGGTGCTGTTAAGGTTTTTGCGTTTCGGTTGTATACGAGTGGGTTGTTTCTGAGAAGAAGGAGTATTGTGTTTTTTAACTGTGCTAGGGCGTGTAACTTTATTGGATGGACCTGTCTTTGTAGTACATGTTGCGTTACTTGTGTTTATGGTGTTTCTTTGCTCTTGAGGTTGTATTTGTGAGGTTGCTTGGGTTATTGATGGAGATATTACAGTATTTTGTGAGCTAGTAGCGCTGTATAGGTTTCTGCGTTTGGGTTGAATACGAGTGGGTTGTGATAACGTGGTGTGCTTCGGTGAAGAAGGAGTTATGTGTTTTTTAATTGTGCTAGGGCGTGTAACTTTATTGGGTGGACCTGTCTTTGTAGTGCATGTTGCGTTACTTGTATTTATGATGTTTCTTTGTTCTTGAGGTTGTATTTGTGAAGTTGCTTGGGTTTTTGGTGGAGATATTTTAGTATGTTGTGAGCCTGTAGTTCTGAGGTTTTTGCGTTGGGTTGAATACGAGTGGGTTGTGATAACGTGGTGTGTTGAAGAAGGAGTTATGTGTTTTTTAACTGTGCTAGGGCGTGTAATTTTATTGGGTGGACCTGTCTTTGTAGTGCATGTTGCGTTAGTTGTATTTATGGTGTTTCTTTGTTCTTGAGGTTGTATTTGAGAGGTTGCTTGGGTTTTTGCTGGAGATATTTTAGTATGTTGTGAGCCTGTAGTTCTGTTAAGGTTTTTGCGTTTCGGTTGAATACGAGTGGGTTGTGAAAATGTGGTGTGTTTCTGTGAAGAAGGAGTTTTGTGTTTTTTAAATGTGCTAGGGCGTGTAACTTTATTGGATGGACCTGTCTTTGTAGTGCAAGTTGCGTTACTTGTATTTATGGTGTTTCTTTGTTCTTGAAGTTGTATTTCTGTTGTTGCATGGGTTATTGGTGGAGACATTACAGTATTTTGTGAGCCTGTGTTAAGGTTGTTGCGTTTGGGTTGAGTACGAGTGGGTTGTGTTTGTGATAACGTGGTGTGTTTCTGAGAAGAAAGAGTATTGTGTTTTTCAGCTGTGCTAGGTCGTGTGGGTGAGGGCGTCTTTGTAGTGCGTGTTGCGTTACTTGTATTTATTGCGTTTGTTTGTTCAGGAAGTTGTGTTTGTGTGGTTGGTTGAGTTAAGTTTGGAAATATTACAGTATGTTGTGTGTCATGTTGTGAGTCTAAAGTGCTGTTTAGGCTTTTGCGTTTGGGTTGAATACTAATGGGTTGTGATAATGTGGTTTGCTTCAGAGGTGAATCTCTGATTGTAGTATATGTTGTATCATTTGTTGTACTTGTTTGTTCGGTAAGTTGTATTTGTGTGTTTGTTTGGGTTAGAGGTGGAGATATTACAGTATGTTGTGTACCGTGTTGTGAGGGAGTGCTGTTGTTTACATGTATACGTTGTGGATCATTTCTGTATGTAGTATTATTATTATTATTATTATTATTATTAAATGGTAACAATATCATCCCTTTTCTGAGATTTGGAGGAGACTTACGCATGCAAATGTTGGAAACAACACGAAGTAGTAAACAATACGAATGTTTCTCATGACGCTCTTCATGTGAACGGATCCTACGGTTTGGTAGACTTATATGAGCAATGCTGATGAGGTATAATCTAAGCAAAACTGGCTCATTATACTATCAGATGCCATGATCAGCTTTTTCTCGCTTGACAGGAAATATATGCTAATTACTCAACAAATGAGCCATAAAAATTATTTCCGAAATCACTTAAAAAGTGAAGGTAAAAAGGACGGTGTGACAGTTGATCCATATAATAAAACTAATGAGAAAGTTATGGAATAAAATTTTGTGAAGGGGGTGTGAAGAAAGAACGCATGAAAAGGGGCACGTTAATAAAACAATAAAGGTTTAGGGATTCAGAGATATTTATTAACAATAACAAACCACTAATTATTATAACTTAAGACTTCTGCAGAGGCATTGTGTGGGTCACTCTTTAATTGGGCGCAAGCCTGTTGAGGGCCCAGAATAAGAGTTGGATAATAAATAAATAAATAAATAACAATTATAATGCAACATTTTTAAATAAGAAAACTTCCTGTTTGCGTTCATTCTTCTGTGACGCAGAAGGTGATGTCATTCGGCTTTTTCCACCGCTTTGGTTAACTGACCTGCACAAATTTATTATAAAAAATAACGAACTACGGATTCAACAACGGAGGGCGAACGGGAAACGTAAAATCGTTTTACAAAGCAAAACAAGATGAACAAATAGAATACGTCGATGTTTCCGCCATGTATCCATATGTTAATAAATACTGTAGTTACCCTATCGGACACCCCGCACTGTATATTGGAGGTGACTGGTAAATTAAAGTTTGTAGAAGGACTAATTAAATTCACTTATTCAATCCAGTGCTGTCTAATATAAAATAGATAATGGATATACGGTGAATGTTTCAACCAAGAACATAACAAGATAACTTGGGTGGTTGATGAAGTTAAGAAAGTTAAAAGTTACTAAAAACATCACGTGATTAATGGACGACCCCTTGAAAGAGTCTGTGGCGATCCAATGCACATGGGCGGATCTGGAACAGGTGTTTATTTAGCTTTAGTTTACATGCTAATGATTAGAGAAATGTCAATTAATCAAATAAAAAACGGGCTTAGTGTTACTTTAATTCTATTATAAAATTAGTGTGAATGTTATCCACAGGATGGGCGATATAGGCTAATCATAAGACACAATTACATTGACACACTGAGGTAGTTTATTTAATACGCTATGCAAGGCGTGCTATTGATTCATACAAACAATATTAGTTAATGACCACCTCCAGAGGATTTGTTGGTACTATTTTGATATAAAAGCTCATGTTTGTAAGTAATATATCATCCACGTATAGATATCCATTGAGCATAAAGCGTCCTCTCGGAACGAAGGGCGGAAACTTGCTTTGGTCGAGGTTGAGGTCTCGCAGGTAGTAACTGCCCTAAAATTATAATTATTTAGTACAGTGAAACGAGAACAATCCGCTAACTACTCTAAGCAGAAAATAAGCCACCAAAGATTTCGCCTTGGACTGGTATCGTCGCGCACTTTTTCTGCAGGAGGATTCCAGTTTCATAATAGTATATTAAGAGACAAGTGTATAATCATATCTCTAAAGCACGCGCAACAAGTTCAAGGGCACGACGCGTAGCGTCAGGATCGGAATTACTACTTTTTTAGTAACTTTTCTGGTTAGGAACTGCCTGTTGTACCCGTTCCCGTAGAGAAATTTAAATTATTTTTGTAACATCCGAAATCTCTCTTCGATTGGAAGGGAAAATTAACATTGTACGATTTCAGCTTCATTAATTAATTATTGATCGATTCCAATTTAAAACTAGGATAGAAGCGGACACGGTCGTCGTAGCACCTACGATAGATAAGTAGACCTCTCGCTTGTCATGAGAATTCCAAGTATCAATGGACTAACGAATTGGGAAATTATTAAGTATAGTGGCTTTTACATGTTGTAGTCTTCAAATTTAAGGTCAAATATGTTTAAATAAATGTCATTGAGTCTTAAGCTACAATCTTTACTGAAAGCGGCATGCTTACTTTTTTGGTGGGACAAGTAGTCAAATTGGTGTCCGAATTTTTATAGCTAAAACCAAACGGACTATTAAATGTGAAGCTGCATGGGTGCTCTTCGTACCGGAATCCAAACCTACGGTACTCGTTGCTTGTAAATTTCAGCGCTTCTAGGACAACCTGCAAATTGAAGTGTAATATTACCATTGAGGTGCTGATTCTTCTCACCTTGATGTTTGAGCCAATGTCTTGAAGTACATCAACAGTAAACAGGAATCTTCTACTTGTTTTGCTCACTTTGCTGTAAGTCAGATTGTATCTTATATACTTTTCATTGTAGAAGTGAACTAAGTGCCTTTCGTACTTCATGACGTAATCATTTTGGAAATATTTCGGAAAATCCTAAAATGGTAACAATATCATCCCATTTCTGAAAGTTTTGGAGGAGACTTACGCATGCAAATGTAGAAAACAACACGAAGTAGTAAACAATACGAATGTTGCTCATGACGCTCTTCATGTGAATGGACCCTGCGGTTTGGTAGAGTTATATGAGCAATAATGATGAGATATAATCTGGGCAAAACTCAAGGTTGGTATACTACGGCAAAACTGGCTCATTATACTATCAGATGCGTTGATCAGTTTTTTCTCGCTTGACAGGAAATATACATGCATTGTTTTTGGTTGAGAGGTCTGATCGAAAAAGTACGAATTGTTGTATTCTACGCACCAAAATTAATAAGAAAAAGTGTTTTCCCGAGAAATTTTGGTGCAGTCGATTTTTGGTAAAAAAGGAAGGTTATACACTGCTTTTTTTGAGGCCCGAAAAAAATTTATTGCAAATTAGTTTAAATACAATTTAAAGTCACTAAATATAGAAAGTACCGCAATCCAGTGGACTCGTGTGTTAGAAAGAGAACGCATGATTTTTGCCCAAAAATGGCGGAAGTTACCAGATTCTAGTAACTTTAATGTAAGGGATTGTTCCACCTGTTTGGAGATATCTGTATATATTTTTATAAAACATGACAGTACTATGAAGTTAGGTTATAAAAAATGACCACTATTCAGATTTTATTTGTCAATTTTTTTAAGTTGGCAGCAAATTTGCCCAAAAATGGCGGATGATTGCGGTACTTTCTATATCTAGTGACTTTAATACAATTGGTTCAAGTGCGCCATCTCCTTGGTAATCGATACACTAACTTTCGCCCTATAGTATTATAAGTGTAGTTGAGATGTCGCCACGTACGTAACTTTTTTCGAAAAAACTTTTGAAATTTAGCCACGATCGACATACAGATCAAAAAGCGACGGGACGACACCTTTGCGGACCTCGGGCATACAGACACTCCAGGACATGCTGTATTTGAGTGTAAGAGGTGAATAAGGCGTACATGGACGCTGAGAATGGAGTTGGTGGACACACACCCCCACGCATCCTTGCACACTACTCGCGTCGAAGTAATTATTCCAAAGCTTAGGTGTCGATGAAAGGCTCCTCAAATGGTTCTCCGTGGCCGTACCGTGCGCATCCATCACCTTTTTAAACGACACTGTGCTCACGATGTAAACTTGCTCTCACAGAAATATTTTAACGCTTTACTTAGCCTTAAACCTTTACAAAAGTTGTATATCAAGAGAATATAATGTGCGAGGAGGAAAATTTTTTAGTGAGGTTAGGTTAGGGTGACAGTTAGATTAAGTCAAATTGGTTTAGGCGTCTAAAATTTTGGCAAACTAATTTGACCTAACCTAACTATCACCCTAACCTAACCTCATTAATTTTTTATCTTAACCTTCAATTTCCTCGCACATCATATTCTCCTGATACAAGATTTTTGAGCTAACCTAACTATCACCCTAACCTAACCTCACTAAAAATTTTTCCTAACCTTTATCTCCTCGCATATTATCTTCTCCTGATACAAGATTTCTTACCTAACCTAACTACCACTCTAACCTAACCTCACTAAAACTTGAACCTAACTTTCAATCACCTCCTCGAATATTATATTCTCCTGATAGAAGTTTTGTAAATGTTTAAGACGAAGTAAGGCGTTAAAATATCTCTGTGAGAGCTAGGTTTACATCGTGAGCACAGTGTCGTTTAAAAAAATGATAGACGAGTACAGTACGTCCTCGGTGAACCATTTAAGGAATAGGAGTTGGTGGGGTTTTCGTCGGGCCCGAGTCAAACCTCGAAATTACTCACTCCGATATCAGAGCCAAAGCTCAAAGATCAATTCCAGACCGAGTGGCAACAAGCAATCGGACTTGGACAGTCCAGGTCCTTTGTAACACAGCCCCTTGGCAAATCTGGGCCTTTTAAAACTGAACATAAACAAGCTCGCCGGTGTCCTTACGGGGTACTGGATGGTCAACTATTTCCTGCACAACATTGGGCTTGTAGGAGAACCTACGTGCTGGTTCTTTGGCGAGGCATGTGGTCTGTCTCTGAGACGCTTTGATCAGAAACATACAGCAGCTCCTTGGGGACATCTGGACATCATATCTGGAACCGTGGAGGGTGAAGCAACTTAGACTCATCAGGGTCTTATCCTTTATTGGGGGGAGCCGGTTCTGAACCGAGTTGCATAAGAAAGGGGGTAGGCACAGTGGGGCTGTGATGCGCTTCGAGCTCCCCACGCTTCCAACCTGAACGGAACAACCGCTCATTGGCAGGATTAACCCCTCCGAGTTCCACCGTACAAAAACCTTTTAATTTCTTTGAAAGCGGTGCCCTTGTAAGAGTTCGGGTTCATCAGCGATATTCAAAACGATCCTATTTAATTCCTTTCCTTCACTTACTCTCTCCGAGCTCCATTTAAATATCGACAAAGAAATTAGTAATCGTAATAAATTAAATCTAACGCACTTCAGAGATTAACCCCACAGATACAGAGGTTCTTAAACTTTTCCATAATAGAAAACCATTTGAACTCCGTCTCTGCCTTGAATTTTATTTTGATGGCAACGAAACTAGATCTAGGGACCATGATCATTTTATATGATAATATCGTGGATCGGTACAGCAAAGTTGTAATATACAAATATTCAGAAATCGCACTTAATTTTTGTTTGTAATTGGGCCTAATAAAGGTTGTTCAATGTAGGTAGGTGATATAAATAATTGAGCAATCGCTTAATATTTTTTTTAATAATCTAACAGTCTAACGTCAAATAATTATCATAATTTAATACACTTTGCATGAGGTTTTCTTTAACAATTTCATTATATAAGAAGTACAAAAACTACTACTATTGGTTCATGAAAATATGTTGGGTTTCTTATGCTATTTTTAAATACGAATCACTTGTTTGGCCTCGAATAATATTTAAGAAAATATCAAATTTAACTACACGCCTTGTAACAAACGATAATAATGTACAAAATCATAACTTTTTGATTATAAAGATCCTTCACAACATTTAACTACAACATTTTTATTATAATAAAATAGTCATTTATACTTTTTTTTTGTTTCAGTACAGCCTGTTGGTGTGATAACTCTATGGGGCTTGGGTAACATTCCCTGTAGTAACGAAAGTTTTCTTCGGTTTTGGGGGCACTAGTCTAATACGGCTAGCAAAAATCTACATAACAAACGTATCATTACTTACGTTACAGGCACGATAATGATGCTTAAACTTTGAACGCTACTTACGTACATTTACACAATAAGACAGTGGCTGAAATACAAACACGGAAGCAGATTGTAGATGTGGGTAATTTGAAGGGACACAAGACAAACAACAATAAAAGCGTTCATTAAAGTACCAGGAGTATGTGTGCTAAGCTTAGTCTATACAACAACGGAAAATTGAAGAGCACGACCAAAAATCTCATGTACACGTGTCACATTCAGGATAAATACATTTCTTTTGATATTCGATTAAGACTAGTCGCTAGAGATCACTTTCTTTGGAAATTACATACGGTAGGTTAGAAAATTATGAAAAAATACTCCATAAAGCTAACAACTATATTATGTACCTATAGTAAATGATTGGAAGTAGGTAACTTACAGTGTGATTACAAGAACCTGTATTGTATAAATGTGATTGTTTTTTTAACAATACCTTGACGTCATTCCCTCGTGCGTTGGGGTTACTCGCACGCACGAGCGAAACCTCGCGATCTTCGTCGACGTCATCAGTCGCGTCTCTCCTTTTGATTTCTAGTACACCGAAGATAGGTACAAGATTTGTTTTTTATACATTTAGAATACATGCATCTCACTTTTCAATTTTTTGTCTTAATTTTACGAGAGCGGAAGCTATAAACCGAAATGTGCCGATATTGTCAAGTGCACGTTCTAGGTGGCGATTGAGGGCTACCTTTGAAAAACTATTCGCGTAGAAAGCCGTCTGAGTGGCCTTCTGAACAAAGTTAAGGCTGTAGGAAGCAGTCCATGAGATCATGTTCAATTGCAAGATGAAATTACAAAACTTTCGAAATTTAAAAACTCCCAAAATTGTGCACTACCATCCAAGATATCCTATTCGCGCCATTTACTGTCTCCTCTCTCAAAGGAAAATCGTGCCAGGTTTCGTATCGTTAGATTCTTTTAATTCTTGGTTTTGTGTTCATGGAATTTAAAGAACGAATCTATTCCTAAAACTAACTACCGTTACAGTACCCCCCTCTTGTTTTTCAATCGAACTCTGGATGTGTTTCCATCATATTTGTCAATTGTTTTAGATTTGGTTGGTTGGTCATGGTGAAAGTCGTGTGGGCACCCAAGCTATAGTTACCGAATTTCATTTTTTGGGGTGTCATATTACATTTACAAGTTCAATTGTGGTGGAGGATACCAAATTAAGTGTTCAATGTTGTCTAAGGTCAATGATCTCAATAATGATGTTAAATTACATTTTCAATGTCATCCAAGGTCAATGGTCCCATTTGTTGTGTCGTCAAATTACAATTTCAAGGACAATGAAAGAATTTTTGTGGTATCAAATTACATTTTCAAGGTCATAGAGAAGTAATGAACTCATCTGTTGTGTTGGCTAATTACATTCTTGTCCTCCAAGATCAATGACCCTTTTTTCGGTTTCAAATTACAGGTTCGAGGTGATTCAAGACAATCCAAGGTCAATTTTGCGGTCTTAAATTACACTACCAAGGTGATCCAAGGCCATAACCTCCTTGTCATGTGGTAACTAATTACAATATCAAGGTCGTTCAAGGTAAAATCCATTCCTTGCGGTGTTAAATTACATTTTCAAGGATATACAAGGCCAAAAACCTAATTTTTTGATGTGGTGGTGCCTAATTACATTGAAGGTCACGCGATGTCAATGAAACCTTTTTTGCGGTGTCAAAAATTACACTTTCAAAGTCATCCATGATACATTCATCCAAGGTCAATTAAACAATTTTTGCGGCGCCAAATTATATTTTCAAGGTTAATGGTCTCATTTTTATGCGGTGTCTAAATTAGAATCTCAAGATCATTCTAGGTCATTGGTTTCGATGTCAAATTGCATTTTTAAAGACAAAGAACGTAAGTCCTACAATCCTAATTTCCAAGGTCACCCCCAGGTGGCGAGAGAGCTTGGACTAGACAAGTACCTTTGACCCATTTTAATTTCAGTGTAGTCGTGTGTATTTGTATGGTTTTGATATTTGTCCCTTGGTCAACTTCTTAAGTGTATTGAGAGGGGGAGAACCGGGGCGCGACCAGCTAAATGCGTGTGAAAATTTGAGGCGCCGAGAAGCCGTGGAAAATGACGAGATTAAGCTAGATTATGTTCGTTTTACATTAGTTGTTATCAAGCTTGCTACGTAGTTTGGATTTTGTAGATTCAGAGAGATTTTTCTCTGCGGGGAGGTGAGTTATTGGTGTTACCGATTGGACGGAAAAATTAGTCTTTGTTGGTGGAGAAGGTTGTACGGCCCTGATTGGGTGCGAGTTAAAAAATAAAGATTGCTGGGAGAGCAATTCAGATAAGCCGCGGGGTAATTCGCGTCGTGAACAACGAAGAAATTAGCGCGAATCTGCGGACCATCTGTAAATATTATTTTCAGAGAAGTTGCGTAGGTTGCCAGTAGCAAAGCATGCTAGTAGAAGACCTATGTTCGTTCTGGATCAGGAAGTGACGTCACACCAATCAGAGACGAACTTGTGACGTCACAGCCAATCAGAGACGAGCACGCCACTTATGCCCTTCCCCTTGACCAATAATTCAGCATCACTGGGGGCCCCTTTGCATTTCCCAGAGATTGAATTATAGGTTAGAATTGAATGAATCTCCCAAAGCCTGCGTAGCTCAATTGGTTACGGGATAGCTTTTTATTTCAGGTATCGTGGGTTCGATTCCCAACACGAAATAAAAAAATGTCTATAGCGATCACGTGACCGATGACGCGGATCCAAGATGGCGGGTCCAAATTAACATCCAAGATGGCGGATCGCACGAGACAGGCGGACTGCAGAAGAATGGCGGATTTAGTGACTACTAAAATGGCGGGCGGATTCAAGATAGCACCCCACAACATGGCGGATTTAGTGACTAATAAAATGGCGGTCGATTCATAGACGACGACCAACAAAATGGAGGATTTAGTGACTAATAAAATAGGGACCGATCCAAGATGACGCCTAACAAAATGGCGGGTTTAGTGACTAATAAAATGGCGACCGATCCAAGATGGTGCCCGACAAAATAGTGGATCACGCCGCTCATTGGCTGTGACGGCACAGGGGGAGCATAGAGGGCGTGCTCGTCTCTGATTGGTGTGACGTCACTTTCTGATTCAGAACGAAAATAGGTCTTCTAGTGATGTTTAAATCAAACAAGAAGAGAATTGCGACCTTTATTTGAAAAGGATATTTTCCGACTCGGAAATCATCGCCGTAAATACGAACAAACGCGTGAAAATTAGAGAGAAAAAGTGTTTTCCCGAGAAATGTTGAAGCAGTCGATTTTTGGTAAAAAGGAAGGTACACTGCCTTCTTTTGAGGCCGGAATTTGAGTCCAAATTAACATCCAAGATGGCGGATGGCACGAGACAGGCGGACTGCAGAAGAATGGCGGATTTAGTGACTACTAAAATGGCGGGCGGATCCAAGATGGCACCCCACAACATGGCGGATTTGGTGACTAATAAAATGGCGGTCGATTCAAGACGACGACCAACGAAATGGAGGATTTGGTAACTAATAAAATAGGGACCGATCCAAAATGACGCCTAACAAAATGGCGGGTTTAGTGACTAATAAAATGGCGACCGATCCAAGATGGTGCCCGACAAAATAGTGGATCACGCCGCTCATTGGCTGTGACGGCACAGGGGGAGCATAGAGGGCGTGCTCGTCTCTGATTGGTGTGAAGTCACTTTCTGATTCAGAACGAAAATAGGTCTTCTATTGATGTTTAAATCAAACAAGAAGAAAATTGCGACCTTTATTTGAAAGGGATATCTTCCGCTCGGAAATCATCGCCGTAAATACGAACAAACGCGTGAAGTTCTAAGTGTGAAGTCAAGTTGCATGACCTTAAATACAGTTTAATTTGCGCGAATGGGAAACTATTACGATAAATGCGAACAATAGCGCCGAATTATGTAATAACTGTGTGACCTTGGAAATAAGGCTCAGAGATTGCTTACCCGCTGGAAAATTTGTGGAGGTGAAGGTTAAGGTCGCTATCCTCTAGTGGAAAGTAGTTGGGGTACAAAGTACAGGTTATTTTTCAAATGATCATTTTCTAGACCAGAGGTTCGTTCAAGAACACATTATTAGCATATAACCTTACGAGCATTGACCTTTGATGACATTAAAAATGAAGTATGACACTACAAAAATGGGGCCATTGACCTTTGAAAATGAAATATAACACCACGGAACTGGACTGGTCTCATTAGCCCTTGTTAACCTTGAGTCGCGTTCACGTTAATCCTTTCACGTGCAAAGGTCAATTTAGTTTTCTCTCAAATGATCATTTTCTAGACTAGAGGTTTGCTCAAGGACACATTATTAGCATATAACATTAAGATAATTGACCTTGTGATGACCTTACAAAAAATAGGCCTTTGTTGACATTGAAAATGAAACGCGTGCAGACCGGTGCATTTTCAGGAGAGCGGCATATGACTTGAGCGACGACAAATTAATTTCGTCCAACTAAAAATTAAAAAAAAGTCATATTCGCGCGAAGTTAAAATATTCACCGGCATTACGTGTTTCAAACCGAGCATACGTTGAGAAATTTTGAACTGCAGAATTTACGCTATGCCCGAAAAAGTTAAAACCGGATAAATCTAGTAAGGAACTTCATATACCACTACTGCATGCTTCGACCTAGGGTAATCCTGAATCCAGATAATTTCTATGGGAATTGATGCAACTTTAGGAGAACACAGATTTCTTGGATTGCAGTAAAAAGCACTAAAATCTGTTTGACGTAAATGATGTTGCACTGATCTCTCTAGTTTTCAGCCATAATTCTTTCATTTGCATTACAACGTCTAAGTTTGGTACGAACAACGTACATTCGACAATAAACATTCGGCACTAAAGACGTTGAGCAACTACCTAAGCAGTGCACCGAAAAGACCTTATGAAGGTCTTCCTGAGAGCAACTAATCGATATACCTTTGATTACAAAATAAATACTACAAACGTTTTTGATATCATAGCAACAAAATGGGAACAATATACCGCTTATAACAATATATAACAACGCAGCCGAAGATGTCCTAGAACAACAGGAATGAGACCCGAGTACGTCTCGAGTCTCCCTTGTTGCGTCTGGACATCCCCAACTGTCATAAACTCTGATCCGATCCTGTGGCACCTACTCCCTTGTTATCGCCGCTTCCACCGACGCCGGAAGACGAACGTCCCTCGCCACCGGACCCACGGCCGGACACGCCGTTCGCACCACGAAACTCCAGCTTATACTGAAAAACAGGCAGACTATCAAAACGCAATTAACGACCGAGAGACAGGTAGGCGGTTAGCAGCTAAGAAAGCGAAAGTATTAGTTTGAAATACTTCGTGCCTTGTCAGGAGGAGGAACAAAAAGCTCCGAACCCGGGATCGGTATACAGTACTACAACAAAACACAAACACATTGTTATTAATTGGCTAGTGAAACGCAAGGACTGGTTAAAAGAAACCTACAACGAATCATACGCTATCGAGGCAACGTCGCATATTCTCCAAAAACACATAGCCTATTCAAAGCCTGTGGACTTAGTTGTAACGGCAAGTGCCTACCATCCAGCGACACGCACGGAAACTTCACCCTCTGAGGCATCGAGACACGGTACTAATCACAACAACATGCATTAACTGAGATAGATATCGAATGACGATTTGAAGGGACTCGCAAAGCCTCACCTTAGTAGCACACTCGAAACATGTCGTAACGACTTTTGATATGACGTTCATAAGATTCTTCGTCTCTTGTATCACATTATCCACTTTGGTAAACGTCGCCGCCTTCCCCACCGTATGGTCCTTGACGGTGAACTGGAGTCTCTGTACGAACGTCGGCACCTTGTCCAGACTCTCCAGCAGCTCCTTCTTGTTAGCGCCCCCAGGTACCTGAAAGCGACGCTTTAACTGGGCTAGGCACCCCGAGTACCACTCACCTGGTAGCTGAACTGCCTGATCACCTTGTACAGCCTGTTCGCCTCCTCCGCAAAGTACTCCGCCTGCGTGAACAGATCCTGGGTGGTTTTCAGAGAGCCCTCGCCCTTCGTGAACTGATACATGGAGAACGCCATCGACGACATGTTCTTCGCTCTCTTAACGATGTCGTTATTTTCCTACGGCCTAGATCAAAGAGTGTCGTTAAACGTTCGTCTTTACCTCCATTTGCGTGCTGCTCTCCTGCCACTTTTCCGTCTCGGCGTCCATCTCGCTACTGATCAGCTTCATTTCCAGCCCGGACTTCGCGATCTTCTCCTGCTCGTCGACGTCCAATCGAACGGATTTTAGTGGCTTCGATGTCGTGCCGTGTTTCTGTGAAAACATGATCGCGATCAGCCTAGTCGGCTGAGAAAAAGTTTACTGCAGCTGTCCGTAAGGACTCGAGCCTGTAAACCGCAGGTCATTTCAACCCCCAATACCAGTTTGAGTTTCCGAAGCCAATCGGTGCTGAGTACTGTAATTTATTTATATGTTCGTAGTAGACTCAGTCGACGAAAAAGATGTGGGTATACCCCACCACATCCGATTTCCCACTTATCGGAAACCATAAAGTGACATACAAAGCCAATAAAATCTGACCCAAAAGGTGGAGAGTCGTTGTGGGCGGTTTGGGTCGCCGGGTAGGTAGTGTTTAGTACGCATGTCTCGGAAGGATTGTCTACGTTCGTTTAATCTAACCGCGAAAACGCCACAGACATGCAAAAGACTAGTCTCTTAAGACTATTAAGTTTTTAGACCACCCAAGAGCCAAGAGTCTCCCAAAGGAAACCCTTGAGCCACATGTAAACCTTTGACGCATCTCACAGATTCGTAAAAACTCTGAACCTTGGCATGGCTTATTAAAGATCAACAAAACTTGCGGACACTGAGTTTTTAAAAACTGAAAACGACCCTGGGAGACTTTCGAAGGCTCTTTTTAAAAGTATCGGTACGCGACACTTACATATTTCCAAAAACCTTTGAGGCCCTATGGGAAGGGAATGCGGATAGCTGGTAACGAGGAGGCCAATCGCCACGCACCAAATATTCCCAAATCACTCAGTAGAAGTGCCATTTTCTTATAGAGTTTGGCCAGTAGAATCCATAATTTCAAACAGTTCCAAGATTGGACTGCTAGATCAAAAGTTACAGCCCTTTGAACTTTTTGTCGAAATTTGTAATTAGTCCATAACTTTTGATTGAGGGGCCTGATCGAAAAAGTACGAATCGTTTTGGATTCTACGCACCAAAATTAGTGAGAAAAAGTGTTTTCCCGAGAAATTTTGAAGCAGTCGATTTTTGGTAAAAAGGAAGGTAATTCACTGCCTTCTTTTGAGGCCGGAAAGAAAAATTGTCTGAGATCGGCCGGGAAAAAAAAACATTTTCTTATAGAGTTTGGCCCGTAGAATCCATAATTTCAAACAGTTCCAAGATTGGACTGCTAGATCAAAAGTTACAGCCCTTTGAACTTTTTGTCGAAATTTGTAATTAGTCCATAACTTTTGATTGAGGGGCCTGATCGAAAAAGTACGAATCGTTTTGGATTCTACGCACCAAAATTAGTGAGAAAAAGTGTTTTCCCGAGAAATTTTGAAGCAGTCGATTTTTGGTAAAAAGGAAGGTAATACACTGCCTTTTTTTGAGACCGGAAAGAAAAATTGTCTGAGATCGACCGGGAAAAAACATTTTCTTATAGAGTTTGGCCCGTAGAATCCATAATTTCAAACAGTTCCAAGATTGGACTGCTAGATCAAAAGTTACAGCCCTTTGAACTTTTTGTCGAAATTTGTAATTAGTCCATAACTTTTGATTGAGGGGCCTGATCGAAAAAGTACGAATCGTTTTGGATTCTACGCACCAAAATTAGTGAGAAAAAGTGTTTTCCCGAGAAATTTTGGAGCAGTCGATTTTTGGTAAAAAAGGAAGGTAATACACTGCCTTTTTTTTGAGGCCGGAAAAAAAAATTGTCTGAGATCGACCGGAAAAAAACATTTTCT